TTTAATTGTTATCAATATCCTTCAAAATAAAGAAACATTATCCATATGTAATATTAGTATAAATTATGTGTTAACAGAGTGTAAAGCAGATAAGTTGCAACTAGTAGTAGGTCAGAGATAGATAGTCTTGATGTAAGTAAAGAGCAGAAAATGGTATAAGACGTTAACTAACGAGCTAATAAAAAGGTTATTATTCTGTTATCAGATTAACTATAATGAATAATTTAGTTTATTGAGCTTGACGTAGTTAGCATATCAGTAAGATATAAATTAAACGCTTGATTAATTATTTGTGCAATCGGTACTGGTGCCAATTCATATGCATCCTATAAATAATTTTGAAGTCTATGCACAGTGATAATGAGAAAATATGATCACATAGAATATAATCTACCTTATATATTAAGGTATATCGGAAATTATGCACACATGAACGGAGAATTAATTATTCCTACAAATACAGACCGGTAAGAATTTGAATTCATCATATGAATAGATTTTTTTCTAAGTTATAAAAGTGAAAAAACATGATTACCTCTACAATTTTAGTTTATAGATATATAGGCATATCTGTAAGCTGCACAATTGAAACAAGGTCATTTAAATAGATGAATTTTAATACTATGTATGAGCGAACATAGCAATCGGTAAAATGTTCGAACATAGACGATGTTCTAAATTTTCTCCAGATAAAAAATCAATCTTGTAAAAAGTTAAAGTTTTGTAATAAGCTATGGATGACACAGGGGGTACCAAATTGCGCCTATCGAAATGAGAAGTATTATGGATTTGAAAATTCTATGGAATATGTAGGCGAAAGTAATGAATTATCATATCGCTTAGCTAATAATGCACATAACACTGAATGAGTCTACGCATTTTGAAGATAAGTTATTTCAAAATTACATTCTGATTTTGCTTTGGTAGTGTAATTAGACGCAGGACAATCGAAGCATAATTGCATATAAAAGCAAAGCTCAATAGTTCGATGTAAGCTATTAATTTGTAGATTTAAATTAATTTAGCATTATTTTATTAGAACCGTTAGAATTTTAAAGAAATTCTTAGTAATTGCTTTCATTGGTATTAGCGATCATGTTAAAATCCTCATATTTAAAAGAATCGTCATTGCATAAATAAAATCTCCGAAAGGATTGTCCATCCTGGCTTTGCTGAAGGCGAATCAGAATTTCTTCTTTTTTGACTGCATTTTAAGTGAAGTGTAATCGAGGCATTCAGTATTGTTGGTAGTAGTAATTTATCTAAAAAATGTTGCGACAGCATTTCTAGAAATCCAATAATAGCGTATAGCATTTCGGTATTGGTAAAATTATAAAGAAAGGGATTGATTGAAGAGTTCAGCGGTAATGCGATGATAACGATAAACTAATATTCGAAAGCATTGCTTGCACCTTTTTACCTTAGCAGCATAAATTGTGAAATAGAATGACAGCCATGATATTAAATCTTTTAGTAGAATATAGAAAAGAGCATAGCCATACGTTTTTGTTAATAATTACTGATATACGAATTTTGCGGTTGAATTTTTGAGTGGCTATTACTATGTTAATGTAAAGGCCAAACGTAACAAGCCAGCAAACCTCGTAGCTATCGCAAAGGCCAGTAGCCATATCCGATAATACATATTAATAAAATTATTGGGCATACAAATTCCGGTATCAAGATAGAATCGCGAATACCAAATAAGCATGCAACGGACCAAAAAATGATAGCAAGAATATTAGCCTATTTAATGATGAATTTGTATGCAGAAAGCAGATAAACGATATCAAGATAGCGATCAATAATAATTAATAGCATCAAAAGATAGACATAATACTTGCTTTTGTTCCAACGCTACATGCTAAGTAGCAAGGTAAGCTATTTAACCAATTGGAGTAATATTTACCATAAAGCTGACAATAAGGCGAGTTTGCTGTAGCAATAATTAGTTTCTAATCGCTCAATCACTGAAAAATTCGCATTCTATAATCTAAGCATCAAGGATCATGTGCCACTTGGCAGACTACGACGTACTTGTTACTAAGATTGCTATCTAAAGACCAGTTTGTACTGTAATATTGACGCGAAGAGATTTTCGTAAACAAATATATATCTTAATTTTGATAGATAATTTATAATGCAGCACCATTATTTGATTTTTTACATACTTGTATAGATGACTGCATAGTTTTATAATAATACATATGTGTTTATAATGAGTAAATATTCCAATAGATTCACGAAATATCGAACCATTTTTTAGTAAAGTTTGCGCTCAGCTCTTGTCTAGGTAGAACTACAGTTTACTATAACCTCCTGATAACGGAGAGATCGCCAGTACTAAGAGTTGTAGGCAGAGTAGATGTTGGGAAGGGTTTACCTTACAGTAAGCTTGTTGTCAAAGTTTCATCTAATTGCAGTATTTAGTTGTTAGGAATAGAGTGATAAGATGCAGTGTAGAACTATTTGCCTTCATTAAGTAAGTATTGATTAAGAACCCATAGACTATAATCCTGTTGTTCAATTTACTACTTATGGTCTCATTATTTTTTCTCCTGATAAAATTTCGATGTTTAGGATTGTTGTATTTGTAGTTCTTGATGAATATATGTATATATGACTTGATGTCGAATTAATCAAGTAAAGACTCAAATAGGTATTCCAAGAACTTCGCTACTCGTAGCCTAGAGCGTACTTTTAGAAACTAGAACCCTTGAATGACTGATTGCACGATGTGCACATTTATGTGTAGTCTTTCGGCTAATGGTTGGATACAGATAAGTCAGATCACCTGACTAGACATAGTTCTCTTATGATAACAAGTACCGAATACAGTTATTCTATCTAATCTTGTGCAGCAGGTTGAGATCCGTGAGTATTCGCAACAGTGCTAAGTTAGAGTATACAACATATACTGTAAATAATACCAAATTACAACAAGGAAATGTAATAGGAGTAGGAGAAACGAGTAAATTTATTCCTAACTATGTAAGCATCACCTAGCATAATAACGTCCTATAGTTGAATATGAAATATGAGATAGAAACAATCTGCACTCTTAATTAAACTATGTTTTCATGCCTTCATAATTTACAACGAAAAGTATTTTAACACGTATAAAAAGAAAGATGATGCCTTTGTTAAGTAATATGAAAATCTACTCCAGTTTTTTGTTCTAAGTATATATTTATAATTAGCTATTTGCTATTCTATAATAAATTACCCCTGAAGATGGAGTACATACATAAACAACATAATGAAGACTAAGTGCGAAAGGTCCAAAATTCAAAAACGCTTTCTATAAACATGAACATATTATGGCATTGGGACAGAGAAAATTTATTTATTTACTTAGCTCTATAAACTCTCCATTTATTAGAACTGAAGCAGCATTGGAATCAATTGTTATTTTCTCGAAACTTTTATTCACACCTCTTTGTTTGATCAATTTTCCATTACTATTGAACAGAAACCGGTCTTTCGGTAGCACAATTTTAACACTTTAAAGAATGATTAGTCACAGTACCCTATCAAGTTATAGAAATTAATACTACTTACAGTATGATAAATCTGCAGTTTCATAAGGTAGAATTTTACCGTTAGAATATCTCATAAGTTCTTAATTTAGACAACACAAATTTAGCTACAATCCAAACAACTTAAAAAGATTGTACCAAATCATTTTTTACTCTTATTGATAACTTCGATTGCTCCCGGTATCTCAAGTTTCTATTTGAAAGATTTGAATAGCAAATTTTTTAACTTTATCTAGTTGCACAAGATCTCAAAGCAATCTCGACGAAGGGCATGAAACTAAATAAATTATCTCAAGATTGGTTCCGCAAATCAATAAATCATAAGATTGGCTACTTATGTGGAAAAGTGAAGAGACCTAAACTTAACAAATAATGATAATTAACGACAAAACATTGGGTATTTTTCACAGGATGAATGAGATGGCATCTGGTGTAAAGCTTTAATACACATTTTGCATCCAATGAGTCCTTCATACAAATTCCTAGTGCTCATAATTAATATTTCGTTAATTTTACATCCTTTTCATATATTTATATCTTCATGAGAATGAATAATATCAGCATTTTAATATACTGAAGTGCCACACAATAATTAACGATGAAGAGAAAGTATACTGTGATTGACGTCGTAAACTGTGTAGGTACTAGACTGTATAAAAGTTAAATATTAAGAGGAAACGTACCAAGATTAAAATTGTTAGGTATGGAAATGAACCAAACTACGCGTGTAAAGAACAAAATTTCTCAAATCATAACAAGAAGTATATTAAAATAAATAATTCATTGGTTAATGCTTGCATCTTTAATGGAAATTCTAAATAATTTTCTAATACTGTGCAGGCGTAAATAGATTTGTTTGTTTAGTCATATTTCTTCTTGTATCTTCTTTTTACATAACTTACGTTAAGTAGTGCTATATTAATGAAGTATTTTATGTATGTTATGGTTACTTTTATATGGTACTGATATGATATCGTACGTAAGAAGCAAGGAAGACTCTGTTTCCAGCCTACTGTAACATAAGCCTTATTTTTCCTTGAAATTAGTTCCATCTTAAATTATTCGTTTTACCCGCCTACTGTATAGCAATCAATGATGCTGACTGCTATAAACTGAAAACAATGATCATAATTATCAGTTCCTCTATTACTTTCTATCTAATTCTCAATTCACGACTATGAAAAGAATCCATATTGACCCTCAATCTCGTCATATTACATTGGTATTAATTATGCAATAATTGTTATTGAAGAAAAGTTCATATGATATCAATGGATTCATTTAAGAATAAGCCGTTCCCACTCAATCGACATCTAGTTTCCAATTCATTTAAACATTTTTGAAATTCGAATAGATTACTGTCGTCGCACGAGATTTCCCAAGTAAAATTAGCCAGTTTTAAATAGAATTGTGGTCAAAAAATTAGCGTAAAATATTCCTAGAAGATATTCCAACCTGATTATGCCATCAGCCAGATTTATTGTCACTTTGTTACTAGTTTGTGTATTTGATATCCAATCGTTTACACTTGCATTACAATGGCAGCAAAGGCAATCATCTATACTATATCTTAAAAATTACGAATATGCAGAATTTTCTGGGTATTCTAAAGTGGCGACCAATACTTCCGATATTAAAACTAATCTTGCATATCGCTTCCGAATTCAAGTTCATGCCTATAAAAAAACTTTCCCATTAGTTCTACGTAGTCAACCACTTCTTTATCATGATAATTTCATTCTTGACTTAGATCCAAATTCTGTTAAATTATTCGATCACCACCATCTTGTACAGGGATTTGTCGAATCTTATCCAACATCGGAGGCCTACGGTTACATTTATCCATCCGGTCAATTTCAAGGTGTATTTATCCACAACAAAATTAAATATTACATTGAATACAGTCTATTTTATATCAGGAATCTCATCGATCGTAATTCGTTTATTATCTACCGAGATGTTGATATTCAACATCGATCAAGGAAGGGACGTGGAGAAGCAGAAAGCGGACCATGGCTTTTCGATCCATTAGAGTCATTTTCTTCCTCAAATTTGTATAGTCATCTTCTGCGTAAGAAACAATTTTCGGAACAAACTAAAAAAGATACAAATAAAACGACCTGTTTAGCTCGTATTGAAATTGATCATCGTGTTGTCCAACGATATGGGGACCAATTTCATGCTTTGATTGGTGCTTCTGTGTTATTGCAAGGTGTTAACCTGATCTATCGACGCACAGATTTTAACGGCGATGGCAAAGCGGATGGAATTGGCTTTGCTGTACAAAGTTTTTCAGCTAAGAGAAATTTCAGTCGTTTAGATAATATAGATGATCCAAAATATTACTTCGGCAACTGGACAGCTCTTTATAATTACAGCTCGTACTGTATGGCGTTTCTACTAATCGATCATCAGTTTACTCTAAAAGTAACTGGAATAGCCAGTAGCGGTTATGAAGCAGATCAGGGTGTATGCACACGATATCATTATCAATACAATCACCTCCGATCTAGCTCTAATGTTGGTCTAATGTCTATCTCTCGTTATCGAAGCTCCTTAATCTACCCAATAAGACTGTTAATCATGGCTCATGAAATGGGCCACATATTTGGTGCGAATCATGATAATGCTAGCCATCGATGCTCTCCTGGAGGAAGTCATGGAGATTATTTAATGCATTCTACGGTTACAAGCGGAAAGCAAAGAAATAATCTATTATTCTCCCCGTGTAGTCGGCAATCAATTTATCACACCTTACTGAATAAAGCAAGAAGTCAGCAAAGTTGTTTTGTGGATCAGTACTACCCTGTATGTGGCAATGGAATAATCGATGAAGGTGAGGAATGCGACTGCGGTTACCAAAATCATTGTCAAGATCCTACATGCACTCCTGCATATTTAAGCTATTTGGATATACCAAACCAATTGGCAAATTTCGCTCACATACCATGTCGGAAAATTCCTAATTATGGAAGAATTAATTTTGTGTCACCAGCAGTGATTATGGGCATTACTCTGATTACTTGTCTCGCTATTGTAGTCGTTGCTTCCGTATTTTGGAACTACATTAAGCCTAGAAATCCATTCAGGTCCAATCGTTTCTATAGTGAAGTATCGTAATTTCGTTTACTTCTTAATAGGATTTTGGGTGTACTTCAATTGAGTTGCTTGAAATGATAACGCTGAAATTTTGTTTCCCAAATGCAATGGAGTATGACAATATGAATCAAAGCAGATATAATTAAAATTTGTTGTTAGCCTTGTGATAATGAGAATTACTTTATAGTGTGTACTTTAAACGGAAGTTATGAAATAAATTATTACCATGAAAAGCCAGGCCTATTGTCTTGATCTTTTAAGATAAATCGATCAATTATTTAAAACTGGGATGGTGAAATTTTGCATGCTATTAATATCTGTCTACCAATTAAAATTCAATGTTTCTATATATCCCCACGCATTGCGCTCACCAAGTCTTATTTAGTAAGCAATAACGATACCATAAAATATGAGCCTGCCACCACATTAGTGCAAAAATATACATCGTTACTATCGTAACTTTGCCGTACATTGTTTACGATATTTTCATTCATTTCTAATTTTAAATGTGCAAATATTCTAGCTTATTATTACCGCGATAATAATTGTAAGGAATTAAGAAAAATAAGTTCCAGGCTGATTAACTATACATAGTAGCGACTTATTATCCCGAATCTCAATAAGAAAGGATTGCTTTGTAATTGTAGAGATTGATTTAGCTGCAGTTTAAAAATTATTCGCAATAACAATTAAAATTTACTCTACCCGTAGATGGATATTTGTGATTTGAATTATTGATACTTAAATTTTAAGTTCCATTTTAAATTTTGAATAATATCTATAATTAATGCAATCGCTGAATTAAATGATCATCAGTGGTTAATCATTATTAAATCTCTATGTTGACTTCATAGCTCTCAGTATGCTATTTACTGATTGTATTTTTCTATAGATCTCAGCCTATAAATAAGCAAGCGATTAATGATATTTCAGTATTTACATTTTTATTTTTAATTGTCAGCTCCATATTTATCGCTATTTCACTCTCCTATTCTGCTATAAGATCGCGGTTCAGATATTCCTTCCTCAAATTCCCAAAATTAAACGGCTCGAAAATATGATATATTTATAGTAGCACTTCATAATATCATCAGTAAAAACAATGTTTGAAAATAAAAATTCTAATTAATAATGCTCAAACCTTGAAGCTATTTAATCGTTTGCAATAAGCGATGCTATCTACAATGAGTCCGATCATAAATTGAAATATTAACATTATAGCCTTGCCATTAGAGGCTGTTGAGAACGCCATTAAGGAACAATTACATAAAATTGCCATCAAAATTCCATACGATAGAAAATGAGTAGTTAAAAGTGATCAAAATCCTAGATTGAAAGACTATTTGGACACTCTGATTGACTAAATACACGTACAAGTTTTCGACCATAATTATCGTACGTCCATCTGAAAGAAAGGAATCCAATCCCAAACCGACAAAGGTGATAATATTTTGAGTTTAGAAAGCAAGGAAAGCATCATAAGTTCCATTGCTATTATTATCTGCAAAAATGAAGAGTAACTGGGCAAGAGATCAAATTTAGATATATGAATTAGTAATTATCTAATGTCTAGTAGTCCGACTGAAAGGCAGCAGAAATTAAACCAATTTAAGCCATGACAGGAATAACCACTTAGAAATAGCTTAATCGAAGAAGATACAATAAATAGATATTCTACATGAACTGTCAGTTCATAGCGTAAATTCAGCGGAATTACTCACGTTTTCATTAGTCTGTCTCAAAGGATTATGTCACGATTTATGTAATGTACTATCCAGTAATAAATAATTTACGCGTATGTTCTTGATCATCCATGTAGTTTCCATTATAGTTAATTCTTGTTTGAATTAATTACAAAATCTATAGGCTAATACTAAATATTTGTGTCATTTTATATGAGGCAATTAACTGGATATTTAAGATTCAGTACCTAGGTTTTTACTAATAGGATTACGGATTTAATTATGTTCATCAACTGAACCTGATGAAATATTAGATACACAGTTGATAGTTTTAACTAAATTAACCTTTACAGTAGACTATTCATGCACATAAATTACTTACTTAAAAACGACCATTGCCGCACTAGTAGTCATACTTACTTTAAATTCTGTCGCTTCAGGAAGATTGCGATTAATTACAACACCACAAGCGGTACAGCACACAAAATGATCCAAGTTATTTTTTCTTTTAATTGTAGCATCAACAATCTCGTTACGTTATTAAAGCAAATGGCCTTGCAGCTGGAAAAGGCATTGCTATTTGTTGTAGTCAAGAAGAAGCGGAAACAGCTATCATCGATATTTTAATAGTACGTATTACAGCTATCATTTTGCGGTAGATTTTATCTTTCAAGTTACTTGAACGAGCTCGAAACTATCAACGGTAATAGTGTCTTGACTATTCTTGTTCCATACAGAATAATAAATTTGGAGAGAAAAAGATTATTGAAGAATGCTTGCATGGAGATGAATCTCGGTAACGGGCTAGTCATTAATCAAGAAATATGCTGTGCTTTTCCCTTTCTGAAGGATTTACGGCTCATCCGATCGTAGATTGCAATAAAGGCTAAATATATGCGCACGATTTTTATTAGGTTCTAGCTTTCTGCGATGGGGTTAATGTCAGCATAATGCCACACATCCACGATTATAAGAGACTATACGATCGCGATTTAGGTCCAATTACAGGAGGAATGAGGGTATTTGCTCCATATACTAAGGTTAGTATTCATAGATGAATTTTGCAAAGATAGCTCTACACTTGAAAGTTGTAATATTAACATGAATTTCTATAATTATGCTAAAATGCAACCAGAATAAGCCCATTATCCTGTAAGCAAGCCATTAATAAAGCCTTCTAATTTTTGTAACATGCCGATATTAGATTTCAGATGACGATGACAGATGTATCCGGGAAGAAATTATATTCAAAATCATTTCAAAAATGAAAAGCCTTGGTCATCCATATGACGGGATCTTGTATGTAGACATAATGCTTACAAATGATGGTCCGAAAGTATTAGAGTTCAATTGTAGATTGGGTAATCCTGAAGCGCAGGTAAAACTCCAAGAAATAGCAGTACATGCCTAATGGCTGATTGATTGCCTGGTAGGACCATTTGGGTTTCATTTCAATAGTATTAGCAAATAAATTGTATTCAGCTATTCTTTCATAAACTAGAAATACTAAGAATAGGCGTTAGTATGAAGAGCGCTGTCATGTTGCTTTAGGTTTTACTACCCTTACTGAAAAGCGACTTGTTCAATATTCTGGAAGATTGCATCAAGCAAAACTTGAATCGTATCGTTGAATGGCATCCGGATTATGTCGTAGGAGTAGTACTAGCGAGTAGAGGTTACCCTAGACCATACCAGACTGATGTTGAAATTTATAGTATTAATAAAGCTGCTACATTTATTGGTATACAAATATTCCACGCTGAAACTGCATTAACAGGTAAAAATTGAAATTTACGTAATATCTGCATAGTATCCTAGTATCGTAGTATTAAATACCTATAAATCAATCTCCTGACTTGAATATTCTGATTAAAAACGAGATAATGGTTGACATAAACGACTAATAGCAGATCTTATCGTGATCGTGTGAGCTTCAAATCATTTATGGTAACTTGCTACAAATGATTGTGCATCGGAAATACTTTAAGAGCTAGCTTTAATCTTGCCAGGTACGATTATGTTACTACTGTTCAAAAATTTTTATTTACGCGTATAATTCAATTTTGCCACATACTGTAGCATCGAAATTTGAAGGAATTTCAAAGTCCCACTAAATTTATGTTACTAAACATTCTAGATTTTGAAGTTATTATGCTAGCGATCACAGTATTGCTATAAGGTTTTATTTATCAATGCTTAGATGACATGGATCACCAAGTATTAACTAAAAAAGGAGGAGTTCTGACAGCGACCGCCAAAGCGTCGTCTCTTTCTAAAGCATCAATCATAGCTTATCGGACTATTGATTGCATTAACTTTGACGCCATTAAATCGTGTTGTTAAGATCAAGTGACCAAAGCACAGCTGGAAAGGGCGGCAAAATTAATGACATTTATCTGACGGATTGTTCTCTCGCTATTGAAATCACTCCAATAATATATAAATTAGAATTGCTAGTATTGCAAGATAGCTGGCAAGCAGTGAATAACATTTATACTACTAAAGACTGATTTTCTAACAATATAAAACAAGGAGCAAAGAAGACGTTAAGTTCAAACTAGCTTTGGACTATGATATTATTTCTCCTATTTATATAACTAGATTGATGTGATATTTATAAATGGCAGAAAATTCCAATCTTGAGATAGTATCAGCTTCGTCCGATCAAGTCGAATGGATCATTTCTATGGCTAGGAAAGAAGGATGGAATCCTGGTGATAATGATGCAATCGCATTTCAACAAGCTGATCCCAGTGGATATTTTATTGGCCTTATCAATGGTAAGCCGGTGTGTTGTGTAGCTGGAATAAAATTTAATCATATTGCTATTATTGGATACTATGTTGTTGTCAAAGAACATCGTGGTCAAGGTCATGGCATGAGAATATTTCAACTTTCAGTGAACTACTTGAATGGATATAATGTTCGAGTCGATGGACTACTAATTCATGCACCTAAATATCAGAATTCTGGTTTTAAAATAGCTCATGTCAATGTTCGATATACAAGAGCTGTGGATAATAGTACAATATCTTGTCCCTTCGTTTGTACAGCTAGTAGTTTACCATTCGATAAAATTCTGCAATACGATGCACGATTTTATGCAGATGAGAGAAAACACTTTTTAGCAGGAGGATCAATGCTGGAACAACAGATTGCTTAGCTTATATGGATAAAGATACAGTGAAAGGCTTCGAAGCAATTAGAAAAAGTGTTAATGGTTATCGTATAGGCCCACTTTACGCTGAAACACCAGAAATTGCAGAAATTTTGTTAAAGTCTCTTTGTCAACACAAAAGTGATTGTAGGATTACTCTCGACTTTCCAGAAACGAATAATCATGGAAAGGCATTAGTAGAAAAGTTAAAGCTAGTCTAAGTATTTAAATTTGGAACTTTATACACTGGCGAGGCTCCTATCGTCGATTTATTGAAAATTTATAGCTTTACATGCCACTAAAGATCCTCCTAATATACGAAAGTTGATTTGTCTAACAATCTACCTAATAGATGATAGCCTGATGGATAAATAATCGTATGGGTACACAAACTAATTTTAAAAATACCTACAGTAACAGTCAGTAGATCTATTTTATGAAAAATGCTGCTTGTACTTTAATGATAGAAATGTTTAACATGATCATATTTTGTCAAGGTATGGATAATGCGCGTATACAGCATTGTAAAGACATTGAAGGCTAAGGTTATTTATCGAGTTAGCAAAGATAAGAGTGACTAATAGCTTGTTTATCACCCAATTTGACTTGTACGATAATATAATATAAATAATGAGTTATTATACGGCTCCTTTTGCACAGTAATTTAAAATGGTTAATATTAATTATTCCAGATTTTACTCTATATTTAAAATGTAGTTATACTATAATAAAATTATTAGAACAGATCATCTTAATGTTTGATATTCTCTAATATTGTGCTCGTGGTCAAGATAAGATGTTTGATGTTTATAAGAATTTGTCACTTCATAACTATTTTCAGAAATATGTGTTTCTCGTCAATGATTTTGATGTACTCGTTAAGTCTGAGTAAATACTGCCGATTAGCTACTATATGCATATTGTATGGTTTGGAAAATGATTGAGGTAGGTAAAATGAATTTAAATAAGTTAAACATACTTAAATTGTTTAATTGGGTGAAGTCTATTTCGTCAGTTACGGCAGTAATGACGAAATAGATATCAATATATTTACCAGTATACGCTACATTTGCTATAAAGGGTCTTCTCAAAAATAAGGCGAGCTCTACAATTCTTGATAATTTTACTTTATTACGTAAGTTAGGTTCTAACAACTACTAAAGACTATCTATCTACAATTAGACTATAATTTATTATCTTACAATCTCACATACAATTGATCAATTTTCGTACAATCTAATAATTATAGTCTTAGATATATTTGGGGCTGTACTACAACCTTGTTGCATGAAAAGTGGTTATAATCTACTGCCAAAATCAATAATAAATAAGTATAGTTTAAGAATATGAGGCAAATGTGAAGAGTTGTTAATTTCTATGATTTTGTCAAGCATGTAATATTATATATGCAACTTATTAGAATTACTTCATGAAAGTGTAATAAATGCATTTTCAATCGCATCTTAATAAATTGTTGCAGATCTGAGGTACTATCAATTTTTCCGGTAATTCATACTGTCGTAATCATCATGAAAGTTGTGATCTTTATATGACGACAGCATGTATTAGCTAATTCAAGATGATGGTATCGTTTATTAAGAGGAAATTGGGATTACTGGTATGGAATATGCGATTGTATATCATCACGCTAATATTGTGAGCTATTTTATGAGTCTACTACATGAAAACAGTTTATTACCCACAAGTACAGTTATACATTAGCAGTCAAGTACTTCAAGCTTCGTACGCTTCTGTGATATATACCGATCACGAAATTCCAAATTTTAGAAAAATAAGGGCTTTATTGAATCTTATACAAAGAGTAACTACACAGCTCTACTCTAGCCGAATACTACTACTAAAGACTTCTAGAACGAACTAACTGAATAATCTAAAGTTGCATGTTTTTATACTTTTCGTAGCATTCGCAGCTACAATCAGCACGGCAACCTGTTACCTTATTTTACACATACTTAAATTATTCTTAGTAACACAATTCTACTGCGGACCATCATTAATTGATATGGATACGACTATAGTATTTACGTAGACATTAGTCACACCAGCCAAAGTACAATGAAGTAACCATATCCTAATATATGATTTACAGTTCTATTTTTACCTATAACCTTATTAGTAACTCAACACCTTAATGTATATAGTCATCTGTACTCTAGCATAGAGTCTATGCCACTACAGTCTATAGTTATGGCTACCAAATATCTCTTAGGATAAATATAGAAGTTACGCTACCATACATTATACTAAACATGGCTAACAGTCTACAATCACAATACTAAGTTACATTACAGCTTCGTGTCCTTAGCTTAATCTAAACTTATCCAAGTTCCAAGCAAGTAAGACCATAAACCGTGTTCCAATCGTATGTAAAGGGTTGAGTATAACACATTCTAACGGTTTCAAATTCTCCCTTTAATTGTAATTTCTCGGCAAGCTTTACAGCACTTTTATTAGGTATGGGTACATCCAAGGCCAGTTTGCATTTATCAAATGTGCCTGCTAACGCATGAATTAAACTTTCGGCAATTTGGAAACTTTCTGCGTACAAAGGTCCGATTTTATAGCCATCATTAGCTTTACGAATAGCACCAAATCCTTGAATATTTTGATTATCATCTAAGTACACTAAGCTACGATCTGTTCCTAGATTAATCCATGCTGCTAGAAAACACTTTCGAAGACCAGGCGAATGACATCGATCATATTGTAGCAATTTGTCGAAAGAGACACTTTTAGCATCGACAATATGATTGCACGGAAAATCTAGCTTACTAACTATTCCAATATATCGCATAGTGTGATGAAAAGTTTGAAAACCGGCATTTTGGTAATTACTGACTTGTTCAAGCACTGCATCTAATCCAATTTTTGGACATTTTCGTAAACGATTCAATGCATGCAGAAATAACTTCATGCCATAGCCTTTACCACGATATTTTTTCATCATAATAAATAACCCACCAAAACCAAAATCCTCATACTGGACTCCTGCTACGCAGCCGATAACTTCTCCGTTGAGTAAGCCAACAAAGATGCCTAATGGATCAGAGAGTTGAAAAGTGATCGGATCTTTGCATCCAGGGTTCCAGCCTTCATCTTCTACCATCTTCATAATCCATTTCACTTGGTCCGAAGAAGCAACTACAATTTGAAATTCATTACTAGCCATCTTGCTTTGTTATTTGGGGAGGTTTTAGCCTAAATTAAAAAAAGCTAGGTTATTGTGATGAAACCTAATAAAACTGAAGAACAACAAGTCGTTTTGATGGTAGGACGGGCTGAGCAGTAGAATATACTGTGGTAAGAACTTTATTTCATTGTAAAATTTTAAAGATAGAGTGGTAATGCTCGCTTATGCAGTGTATTTTGTTGCTCAACATCATTTTGATCGTATGGTAAATGCTGTATTAACCATTGATATAAAACAGATTGAAAAAATTTATTTAACCTACAATATTTTAATTTCGATTAAAGCAGATTTAAGTAGCGAATTACTTTTATCTACAGTGAATGAGTATGTCTCGTATTCCACACTAAATAAAGACGATAAATAATCGATTTGTAGTCGACGATGGATTTTTCTGCGTTCGTTTCGGAATGGGCGACGGCAAAGTCTGTGACAATAAGACCTTGAATCGAGCAGCTACAAAGTAATGATTGAGAAGAATCCTGTACTCCTACTGGTAAGACTCATTTCCATCATAATCATGCTGTGACCAAGGAGTAGTAACAATGTCAGGCGCTAAACAAATGGCTAATTTACTTTAATATCATATGATATGCGGATATACATAGGCAGATGATTGGTTATCAAGAGGAAAACATAAGGGACAAAGTTTACATTTACATAACATAATATATATATAATGACCATTCTCTAATGTTAGCCAATGGTTCAGTAAAGAGCATATTATAATTACAATAGTGCATTTTATATTGTCCAAATAATTTTAAAATAAACGACAATTACATTTAGCACAGGTAATCTTGATATCCTACTTATATTGGAGTATAGCCGTCATTATCAAATGGAGCAAATTATTTTACTTTTAAATATCTCTTGATCTTTAGTGCCATACAATAATAAAATTGTCAGCTGACGCTGCGCCAGTAGATTTTACAATGGAAGACGGAAAGAGATACTTATCTTCAACAAGCCAAGAAAGATAGCCCTAAAGAGAGAGTAGGAGTCATTCTAGATCATTTCCAAGAAGATGAAGGCTGAAAATAGAGACGATGTTACGCGCTAGTACTTTATTGATCTTTTCCTACTAGACATTACAGATTGATAATCTCAATAAGTAGGTGTAACATTTAGCACTGTTCTCTAACGACGGCAATTTATTTCGAAAATTTAACCCATATTTTTTAGTTACAAGGTATAGTGTAGAATTATCCAACATGACGATTTGCTAGTAAGCTATAAATTGGATCTATTTAAACTTTATCCAAGTTCCAAACAGATAAGACCTTAAACTGTATTCAAATCGTATGTAAGGAATTGGTTAGTATGCATTCTAATGGTTTCAAATATTTCTTGTAATTGTAATGTTTTAATAAGTTTAATAGCATTCTTATTGCGGTATTGGTGCATCTAAGACCACTTTACAATTTTCATACGTTCCTGCTAGTGTATGAATTAAGCTATCGGCCATTTGGAAACTTTCTGCATACAAAGTTCCGATTTTATAGCTATCAATACCTTTGCGTATGGCATCAAATTGTTGGATAACTCGATCATCGTCTAAATAGACTAAGCTACGACCTGTTACTAGATTAATCCACACAACTAGAAAATACTTTCTAAGATTAGGCGAATGGCATCGATCATATTGTAACGATTTGTCGAATGAGATGCTTTTAGCATCCATAACAGCATTACAATAAGTATATGGCTTACTTACTACTCCAGCATATCGCATAGTACGATGATAAATTTGAAGGTCCAAATACTTTTGATAGTTACGACTTGTTGAGGCACTGCTTCGAGTCTATAATTTTCAAATTTCTTCCAGTACTTCCGTGCATGCTGAGAGAGCTTCATACCATAGCATTTATCACGGTGTTCCTTCTTCAAAATATATTGCTCATCGAATGCAAAATCTTCATAGTTGATTACTGTAAGACAACCTCTAGCTTATCCGTTTGAGTAAGGCGACAAACTGGCCTATTGGATCAGCTAGTTGAAAAAGTCATTGCATCTTTACATCCAGGATTCCAACCTTCATTTTCTGCCATCTTCATAATCTATTTCATTTGATCCGAGGAAGCGACTACGATTTGAAATTCATCATCATCCATTTGAAACATCTACGCTAGTCCTGTCCACTTTTGATCCAAAAAATAAGAAGAATAACATTTCTTTTAATAACTTTGGATATCGCGGTCAGTTGGAAAGTGGAAGACTGCTTCAGATATGGGTATCATTATTTTACAAGTATTTTCTTTTCTATTTGTATTTATCCTATCGACCACATTATTTATATGGATAAGTCAAGTTTTAGTTTAAGGTATAGTAGTTTCATCATAAGTGTAAGCATATATTCGTACAGTAGTAAGAAATAATCTGGCTGGGAATTTCCTTTCAATATCTTGCTTTGTGTAGAATATATACCCGTTCAAAGGAACTTAACTATCATTAGTAATCATATAATGATATGAACAACCTTGCAAGGAAATGCACCATTGTTATTATTCACAGTTAAATTGTAGCAATAGCAATGGTTCATTTTAATCAATACCTATAGTATTAACCGAGTCAGATAGGTTCGCAAATCTGCCAGTAGAATTAAAATGTCAGAGTGCCATATAGACATGGGCTAGAGCTATTAAATACTCAGGTTCGAATTGTTAGGGAAAAAAATGAAGTAATAAAGAATGAACTTAAGGTGGCTGGACATTATGTACCTTATAAATACTGGAATCGTTCGAATTATACTTTTTCCGATTTTATTACGATGTTGACTAGTACAGAGGTTTAATCGTGAATTTATATTCTAAATCAAGTGTATAAAGTAGCTAAAGCAATATTTCTGCATTAGAAATGGATAACGACTAAGTCTGTTGATCTTGATTTCGGCTATTATTAATGATGTCCAGTCCATTGATGAAGTCGAACGCTATTTATGTTAGTAGTAATTGACTGAGCGATATTATTATTCTTGCAGCAGCGATATAGTGGCACCAATGGTGAATAAATAACCTTGAATTTACTAGCATGCGCAACGAAATAGCACTTGTTTACTCAGCGAAACGTCAAATAGCCTTGATCATCCTGATAGTTCATTTTTGATGTTAGCCTATAGCCATCGAAGTATATTTATTTCTAAAATGGTTTAAAACTATCAGAGTAATATTCGACAGAAGGGCTTTAAAAGAATGTTCGATGCCAGCGTACTGTATTCATAAGAACTTCATTGAACTTTATTTATTGAGCCAGGATCAAGATGAAGATTGCAATAGCAATCATGCAAAATTTCAAGACGAAGGTTACGTTACCTTTGTTATTGCCTATGTTGATAAACATAAAATAGTAATCTACGGTTAAGAATAAAACCGTAAGATTGGGCATTAATTACAATTTGATGTCGGTCCATAACCCTTCAGAGTTCCACTTTTCCTTACCCTTATCTACTTATGCGCTGCTTCTTTCGATGACAGCCTCCGTTGTGAAAAATTTTTATTTAATTCTAATTATTAAAGAGCTTAAACTTTGAATCCTGTTCTATATCGGATAAAAGAAGGATTGAAATATTAGAAAATTCTTACTGCATGGAAATAATCCAACCGTCCAAATTTCATCTAGTATTATTCTTGAATAAAGCAGATTGGTTCGTATGGTAAAGTATCTTGATTACATTGAGGACATGTATTCTATTCTGTGACCCAAGTCTGATAGATGGTAAAAGATTAAATGAAATATGTTTTAGAACTGCATAGATAAACATGCAGGGAACTTTAACTTCTTTCGACCTCAGGAAGCTTTTGATTCGATTTTTGTTCTAATTAATTATTGCTCTAATACTCTTAAACTCCGCATTAATAATGGCAATATTTAAAATTCATCTTCCGGAGACAGTTATCTTGTGAGAATTAAATTTAAATAGAATTTTAGTGAGAAACTTCCAATATAATACAGGACTTTAATTCACAAAATAGCGTATGGTAAATGATAGCAGTTCGTTTTACGGTAGTGAAAGATTCGCCTCGAAGACAGAATCTAAATATTTACGCGTACTACGCGTAAAATTTATCAACATAGAAATAAGCGAAAACTTTTATGTTTTGATCAGTTTAAAATACTTATACCGTAGATTGTTGTGATTCTGATATTAATTATTACTCATTGACAGTACCACAGTACTTTATAAAAGCGTATACTTTATATCTATAAATCCTGGTTGTCCAATATATAAATAGCATACATTAGTCTTATTTAAATGATATAAATTAGTCTAGCTCAACAGATCGTCGCTCAATCGCTAAACGATCTTGCTAATACAACATTAGTATATAATATACGGAAGGTATGTTGAACGGACATTCACGGTAATTGTAGAAGCTGTGCGAAGGCAGTTTCTATAACAACAGCAACGTAATGATTGCTACTCTCGATTTAGCATATAATATAGAACTGCGATGTAGTAATATCGAAATTTTAAAATGCTAAAGCTGAATTAGTTGATCTTATCATAGCGAAGAACTAAGTTGTGAAGTGCTGGAAGTCCTGACGTTAGGCGGTTAAGATTTGAAGATTTATATATCGAATAAAGGTAACGAAATAATTAAAAATTCTATATTGAGTGTTTTAGAGCTGTATAATAAGCTAGAGTAGCTGATAAAATTCACTCATACCCTCATCAGCCTAATTGCAGATACTAAAAGCGTAACGTAGATAACTGAATTAAATTTTTCAACCATAGCCCCGATTTTGTGGTAGTTAAAATTTTTAGAAAATATGAGAAAAGAGAATTTGACAAGCAAACGCTGTAAAACAGCTAATTTGAGATATTAATATATCTATCTGTTAACACTCGAGAATTCCGGACTAGCTAATTAATAAATCAGGAATAGACGTTTTGAATTATTGCTGTTCTTCGTGTTCAAGCCCTCTAAAATAGGGTCAGAAAGTGGAAAAATTTCCGCTTAATTAAAAACTTGTCCTAAAGGTAGGATATGATGCAATGATATTAAAATTGGATCATTTTCAAAGCATGCGGCTTGATATTAAGTACATTTGCTTATTGATATAGTGCTAAATAGTTTATTTCTACCGGACACAGAATTAAAAATAAAGTTCTATAATTTAATAAGGAAAATCATTTAGAAAATAAAATCACCCGCTGCGGGCCTAACTGTCTATTTCAGTCACAATCATACTTCCATGCGCAGCCACTAGAATTCAATGCCATTTTTAGCACTATCATTAGTGTAGTACAGTGTCCCTACAGTGCTGATTAAGAACTTACTATCATGGACTACTTAACTTCTAGAAACTTTGTAGTCCATGCTACTACCTTCCATATAAGTTACAACTTGTGGTCTATTATGATATGTTCATATATTCAGTACATTGTGCACCATCTACTGTGTACATTAGTAAACCCGACTACTACTCCCGTTCTTACTCATCCTAATACTCTTCTAAAACTCTATTAACTCTATTAAATAAAATATACATTGCAATATATTAAGCATTGATCACTGTAAAATTGAGCTACATAATTTAAGCATTGAATTATTTGTTCGTAAAACGAGCGTTGTAGCTAGTACTATATTGTATAGTGTTGCAGAGCTTACCAGTTAATTATTACAAACTTGAAATATCATTGGATAACAAGTTTTACAGATTACGTTAAGAACAACATTTTCGTAGATCTAAAAGCAGAGAAATCTACCTCATTTGTCTATCTGATTTATATCTTAGATCGTAAGTCACGTCAATCTTGAATATATATATGCATATGTCAAATTGATACTGACGGGTTAAATTTTACGTTGAATTAGAAGCTATACAGATATGAAAAAAATCTTGTATTCTTAGTGGTAAAGCTTTTTGAATTGAGGCTGTATCCGTATAGATATTTATATTTTTTATATTTTTGTTGTTTTTTATTCAAGTATTTCCCTATCCAAATTAGTAGCATTCAGAAGTAATTCTCATAAAACTAAGGAGGAAATAAATAATTTCAGACTCACGTTACAAAATCTCTTCAATTTATTATTGCTCCAACAAGGAACGCTTTCAAATGTTAAACCTGCATGATAATTTGATGTCTAGTAAATTATATTCTCATACTATAAAAAGCCTTCAAAGATCTAAAGTAATTTGCTAAATTTTTTTTTGAATTCAGCTGTATCTTTAATCTCGTAAATTAATACGAAAATACAAATAATATTTAGACATTTTGAAAGAAACTCACATCTCTTAGACTAGCTTACAATTCCTACACGCATCACAGCAATTTGAAACTTGTTTAAATTTAAATGTAAACTATTACGCACCTTATCAGTACGTTACAGTTACACTTTAACTCTAATTTATTAAGATAAGTTTGCTAGGATCTAAGACATATCAATGTCATTATACGAGATATAGACCTTATACGTCAAGTATGTACTTGCTTATTCACTTCTTACTGTAACCCTTTGGCGTTTAGATCAATGCCTGGCCACTAGTATTCTCTTACATCATCCAAAACATTTAAATTGTGTATATTGTAACACCAATCACTACTAATAGAATTATGAGGGATTTATAACAATTTTCATATACACTTTTCGAAGTTACATGTGTGAATTGTCTGATATTGAACTAATCTATTTTTATAAGATTTCTAAAGTATGGCTAATCGATCTGCTATGGCTGGTATCCCTGAAGAAATTAATTCACTTTATAAGGCGGGCGAAGAAAATGATGAGTTTGGCAAACTTAATGAGGCGATTTCTTGCTATATGCTAGTCTTGGATAAAGTTCAAACTTTGGCCACAAGCAGCATCGATTTCCATCGATTTCAAATCGACGTTTGCTTACGTGCTAGTGACATCTATCTACAGCAAAATGAATGGATGAAAGCTGAACCATTGATTGAACAAGCGCAAGATATAGCTCAAAAACTGGAAAACGAAATAGTGATTGCTCGATGTTTAGACCGATACGGTACATTTAAGCGAATGCAAAGAGATTGGAAAGGGGCATTAGATGATTTTATAAAATCACTAGACAAAAAGTTAAGGTACTTGGGCAATGATAATTCATATGGTAGTAATTCGTACGAAGAGGTGGAAGTTGTAGATTATTGTCTTGGTAAATATAAACTGGCTGACTCTTTCTATGAAAAATCGCTTAAAACTCAAATTTCAGTGCTAAATTACAATTATTCCGAAGTTGCAAAAAGCTATAACTATTTAGGAAATGTTTTTGATGATCAATGCAAGTATGAAGAGGCTGTTTCAATGTATGAAAAGTCAATTAAAATTCAATTGTCAGTGCTTGGAGGAAATCATCTCGAGATTGCCCAATCCTATAACAGTATGGGAAATACGTATTACCATCAGGCTAAATACGAAGAAGCTTATACTATGCATGAAAAATCGCTCAAGATTCAGCTATCAGTTTTGAATCACAATCATCCTGATACTGCTAAAACATATAACTATCTAGGAAATGTTCTTGACGAACAGGCTAAGTACAAGGAAGCAATTTCCATGTATCATAAGTCACTCAAAATTCAGGTGTCAATTCTTGGCCGCAATCATCTCTATGTTGCCGAATTATATAATAACATGGGAAATGTATTTTCCCATCAGTACAAGCACGAAGAAGCTATGGCCATGCACGAAAATTCACTCGAAATTCAATGCTCAGCTCTTGAGAATAATCACCCCGATATTGCCAAAACATATTTTCATCTTGGAAATATCTTTTCTGATCAGAATAAATATGAAGAGGCGATTTCTATGTATGAGAAGTCGCTCAAAATTCAATTATCGACTCTTGGTCACAAACATCCCGATACAGCCAAAACTTATAGCTCTCTGGGCAATGTGTTCGTCGATCAAGAAAAAAATGAAGAGGCTATTTCTATGTTTAACAAGTCACTGGAAATTCAATTATCTGTCCTTGGTGACATGCACTCCGAAGTTGCGAAGTCATATTGCAATATAGGAAATGCGTATAATCAAATGATGAAGAATGAAGATGCTATTTCTATGTATGAAAAGTCGCTCAAAATTTTAATGTCAATCTTTCAGCATAATCATCCCCAAATTGCCAAATTATACAACAACATCGGAATAGTTTATCAAAATCAGGGCAATTATGAAGTGGCTCTTTCTATGTATGAGAAATCACTCAAAATTCAGTTGTCGATCTATGGCTGTAATCATCCCGATGTTTCAATATCATATTGTAGTATGGGAGCTTTGTACCTTGATCAAGGTAAACTAGAAGAGTCTATAGATATGTTTAAGAAATCTCTCAAGATTCGATTGCTAATATTTGGTGAAAAGCATAGCCTAGTTGCAAAATTATATAATAATATAGCAGTGGTGTACCGTAATCAAGCCAAGAATGAAGAAGCTATTTCCATGATTGAGAAGTCACTGCAAATTAAACTATCAATCTTTGATCACAATCATCCATCCATAGCCTCGGCATATAACAACCTGGGAGTTTTATACTTTATGCAGGGGAAGCAAATGGAAGCTACTTCTATGCTTGAGAACTCCCTCAAAATTCGAAATTCTGTCCTGCAATGCAATCATCCTGACATAGCCACATCATATAACAACATGAGTCTTATCCATAGATATCAGGGCAGGGATGATGAATCTATCTCTATGCAAGAAAAGTCACTCAAAATTAGATTATCAATCCTTGATCATAAACATCCAGATGTTGCCCAATCGTACAATAATATTGGTCTTAGTTATATTGATCAGGGAAATTATGAAGAAGCTATTTCTACGTATAAGAAGACACTCGAAAATCAACTATCAGTTCTTGGCCATCATCATTCGGATATTGCTATTTTATATAACAATTTAGGAAAAGCGTATTATCGTCAAGGTAAACGTGAAGAGGCTGTTACTATGTTTAAGAAATCGCTTGAAATTCAATTGTCAGTCCTCGGTCACAATCATCCTGATGTTGCTAGTTCATATAACAACATTGGTCTCGCCTATAGTGGTCAAGGCAAGCACGAAGAGGCTATTCGTATGTTTCAGAAGTCACTTAAAATTAAAGTAGCAGTCTTTGGTCATAATCATCTTGATCTTGCTGATACATATATGAACATAGGCATCACGTATTATTATCAGCACAAACATCAAGAGGCTATTTCTATGTACGAGAAGTCACTAAGTATTCAGTTATTAGCTCATGGCCATGATCATCCTGATATTGCCACAATATATATTAATCTAGGAAATGTGTATAATGATCAAGGCAAGTACGAAGAAGCTATTTCTGTCTTTGAGAAATCGCTCAAAATGCAAATGTCGGTCCTTGATCACAATCATCCCACTATGGCCAATACATATAGCAGTATTGCTCATGCTTACGTGCATGTAGGAAAGTATCAAGAAGCTATTACTATGTATAGAAAGTCACTCAAAATTCGATTGTCAATTGGTGGTAACAATTACCTTGCTGTTGCTGAACCATATAACAACATGGGAGCGGTATACAGTAATCAGGGCAAGCATGATGAAGCTATTTCCATGTATAAGAAATCACTCAAAATTTTATTGACAGTCCTTGATCACAATCATCCCGATCTTGCCAAATTATACAACAACATAGGAGGTGCGTGTTGTGACCAGGGCAAGTATGAAGAGGCTATTTCTATGTTTAAGAAGTCGCTTAAAATCAATTTGTCAAATTTTAGTGTAAATCATCTTTATGTTGCTCATTCATACGGCAATATCGGAACTGCTCATCATCTACAAGGCCAGTATACCAGGGCTATTGCCATGTTTCAGAAATCACTGGAAATTCAATCATTAGTTCTTGGTCCCAGTCATCCAGATATCGCTATAGTGTATAACAACATGGGAGCTGCATATAGTTGTTTATGCAAGTATGAAGAGGCTTTGTCTATATTTGAGAAATCACTTAAAATTCGACTATCAGCCCTTGGTCGCTATCATCCCGATGTTGCTAAATCATATAGCAACATTTGTTCTGTCTATAACAATCAGGGAAAATATGAAGAAGCTATTTCTATCAGCGATAAGTCGCTTAAAATTCAATTGGTAGCCCTTGGCTACCATCATCCTGATGTAGCCAGATCATACAGCATTTTAGGAGATTTATATGGACGTCAACACAAGCTTGAAGAAGCTATTTTTATGCATAAAGAGTCTCTCAAAATTCGACTATTGGTCCTTAGTCATGATCATCCCGATGTTGCCCATTCGTACAGCAATCTGGGAAATTATTATCTTATGCTGGGAAAGTCAGATGAGGCTATTTCCATGCATGAGAAATCGCTCAAAATTCGATTATTACTCCTTGATCACGATCATCCTGATATCGCTCATTCATATTGCAACCTGGGCACTGTATATGCTTATCGAGGAAAGTTTGAACAGGCAATTTCTATGTTTGATAAATCACTCAAAATTCGATTATCAGTCCTTGATCACAATCATCCCTATGTTGCAAGTTCGTATAATAATCTGGGAGTTGTGTATACTTTGGCGGGAAAGCATGAGCAGGGTATATCTATGTACGAAAAATCACATAAAATTCAATTATCTTTCACTAACCACAACTCTCTCGAAGTAGCTATATCATATGACAGAATGGGTGCTGTATATTATTATCAAGGCAAGTATGAAGAAGCTGTTTTTATGTTTAAGAAATCACTCAAAATTAGATTGTCTGTCCTCGATCACAATCATCTCGACATCGCAAAGTCTTATAACAGCATTGGTCTAGTTTATGCGAATCAAAGCAAGCATGAAGAAGCTATTTCAATGTACGAGAAGTCACTCAAAATTCGATTGCCAGCGCTTAGTCACAATCATACCGATGTTGCTGCATTATATAACAATCTGGGAAATGTATTTTATGATCAGGGTAAAAGCGAAGCGGCTATCTATATGTACAACCAGTCACTCAGAATTCAATTATCAATTTTTGGTCACGATTATCCACAAGTCGCTGCATTACATAACAAACTAGGGAATGCCTATGCTTATCAGTGTAAATATAAGCTGGCTATTTTTATGCAATTGAAGGCAATTAAAATAAAATTAAGAATTCTTACTCAAAATTATCTCCGTATTAGCAAGTCAAATGACAATTTAAGAATTCTTAATCATAATCATAGCAAGCAAAATGAGGCTACTTCTGTGGAAATTAATCATACTTACTTGTTGTTAACCCAAATCATCCAAATAAATAGACTATTTCTATACGTTAGAAATATATCAAAATCTTATTGTCGCAATTATCTTGATGATTGCTAATCATAATTACGAAAACATTGGTTATCATCAAAATAAATAAATTTCGCACTAAACTTCATTGGTGGTAGCAAGTATTGTTCGTTTTTAAGTTATACTGTATTACATGTTATAATTATAGTTGAAGGATTGCCTCAGCATCAATCTAAATAATTGTGTGTATTTTTGAATAAAGACAACTATCTAAAATTTAAATATATTTTATATCGATATTACTGTTATACTGTTACCCCAACGTTAGAATAGCTTAATAGTGCTGCGTAGTAATTACTAATATAGACTTAAATAAAGGACAACGTTAATAATTATAATCATTGCTAACGGATAATATCTTCGTTCGTATTCTACACTGAAATAGTATGATAGCCAGAAGAGGCAATAGCAATCAGCGAAGCCATTTCCGATACCATAAGCAGGAAGGATCGATAGAAACTACACAGTTCAAAACATATGCATGATATGAAGAATATTCAAAATAAATAAACTTTATTGACTTCATAGATAGTACTGTTGGTCATAGTCTAATCTAAATTGTACTTGAGCAAACGTCACACCACCATACAAGATATTATTGTAATATGACATAACAGAAAATATATTATAAAACGTTGACAAACAATAAAATTACCAATATTTTAATTGATAAATCAGTCTGCAGCTAAAAGTAAATTACAACAGAAGTCGTTATCGAAGGTCAGTTTCTGATTGAGTATTAAAAACCGTTGTAATAGTAGAAATTTATACAATTTGTAATATAACATTTTAATAAATAAGTAGATTGATTGGCAGTTCAGAGAATCATAAAATATAGCTGGCATTCTTGACACCACTGGTGATGAGCCAAGATCAAAGACCTTTGTCAAAAAACTAATTCGTATCCTATCATGTGATGTTATGTTGTTAGTCAGAATATTTCATTCGATTTGGAAAATAATATTCATTTCTGAGAGATTAAAATTTACGTTATTGCTGACCTGAAGTAAACGGCCTTTTGTTTCTAAAGGCAGGAATAGGCTACATATTGCACCAACCAATGCAAAACCAGCAGCTACTGCAAGAGCTAAAATATCAGATGCCGAAAATAGTACCTAGACGTTTAAAATCCCAACAATTTGACGTTTAGTAAACAAATTCAAGTGCAGCATTAACGTCGTTCCTCGCATGAAAACTACTACAGCTAGCTTTAACCGTAAATCGATGGTAAAATTGCATCAGCTTTAAAAGCAATCCTTCCATAAATATTGATTTATCCAACCTGAGCTATAAACGGTGATAAAATTGCTCCTATTCGTCCGACAGCATTAGCGGTGCCAATTCCAACTGCTCTGAACTTTGTGGGATAAACCTGAAATAAAAAATTTGATTCAGTCCATTGCGGTACCTTCTACATGTCTACTTTATCAATGAACTAACCTCAGGAGAATAAACATAACAAAGAAGACTTAAGCCAGAACCACATGATCGCGAAAACAGTGTTAGTCCATACTTTGTAGTTCTGTAAAATATTATTTTCTTTATTATAATTTCTTTAAAAAAAATGACATTCAATGTTAAAATACGTAAGCAATGGCGTACATCAAATAAATATTTTAATATTAAGAAGTTACTATACGATACTGATAAAAGCTATAAAAAAATGAACGTTTATTAAGCACCTGTCTGCGCATATTATTAATAAAAGATAAGACAACATCGCAAGGATAAATCCAAAAGCAAGCGTCCTTTTACGTCCAAGTCGATCAATGAGAAGAAACGCTACTAAGCCGCCTTTAAGTCATTTCGAATAACAGCATAAATATAACGAAATCGCACTTTGGGTAACGACTGGTTATTTCTTCCAAAGTTTATATCAAAAATATCAAATTTAAAGGTTTCAAACCGAAAATACCTAATAATTCTCCAATGCTTGCTATGATAATAGCTACTATATCACTGTTAGTAACTTGCTTACAACGACAGTGAACGATTTCATTTCCATCACCGTGGCCTAATGAAGCAAAGGAATAGGTACTTGATCGGTGATCAAAAGGTTCATACAGTAACGTTATAAACATTTATGGCGGGTTAAATATGTGAAATTCTGGCACACGAATTGTGCAATTCAGGTCTAAGCCTACAGTACGTTGCATGCATCTGCTGCCTTATACTGCATAGAAGCAGACATACATAAAATTTAAAATGTGAATCCTACTAAATAATGTTTGTTTTACCGCATCTAGTAACTTTGGTTAACGCTGGAGTCATGAGGATCGTGCTATAATACAGCGTAACACTTGCTATCCTGTTGAAATTAGTAATAGAATTCAGCAACTTTAGAATCATTTAGATAACGGAAGACCAAGAAATGTACTATTTTATACCAAATCCACCATAGCATAAAAGTAAGAGTTCTATAAGAAGGACTGAATAAATCCTTAAATCGTCCTCGGTCGGTCTAAAAATGATTCAAAGACATACAGTATTAACTGTGACAGTAACTATACACTTGTTAATTAATCTATAACAGGTATCAAAATGTGACAATTGCCTATTTATAAGATTAATCGAGTAATTTAGTACGTTCGGTACCTCTAGATCGGCAACTAAGATACCCTCTGGTATGCTCTTATTATTAGCCTTTGCACCTTTTTCTAATATATCAGTAGCTTCTTTTCGTTTACCAGTTAAAAGTAAAAACCGAGGAGACTCTACAAGCCTCTATTAATAAAAAATGTTACGTCAATTTGTTTCATTATCAAAATGAACATTAACAACAATATCTGCCAAGCCCTAACTACTAGCTTTTACCGGACTAAGTAGTAAGAAAGCAAGCAAAGGGACTGTTGAAATCACTAGAAGCATGCGCCAACCCAGCGGGACAAGAAGTAGATAAGCTAATAAACCTTCAAAAGACATGCCAATAAATACAAATACCTAAGGAAATAGAGTTGAAGCAATTTGAATATTCAGTCAATCTTGTGTATAGCATATATAGTAAGTACTTACCTGCAGCGATATGATTGATTTAGCTCTAGTCTTGGATGGCACTAACTCAGTTAGCATTGTAACACTGCGAAATTAATTACATTGCAACGCAAGACACTTTAGTTAGAAGAGACCTTTTTCGATGTTATGCAGCAATAGTAATTAATACACAAATACTGTAAGATGACTACTGTCTCTATTACGATGTCAAGAATACAAGATAAGCTATGTTGCTTTAGTACCATGACGATTGGTTTTATTCTCAAAAATTAAAACGAGCATTAATATATATATACAGTACTAGAGCATACCATTGCGCGATTCCACCAACACCAATACCAGCAAGGGATCTTAACAGTAGTGTCATAACGAGGCCACCAGCGGCAGCTGATATTAATCCAAAATAGGACGTGCATATAACCGCTATAGTAAGACCCTTTTATAACAAAATATTAAATCAGAGTCATTGGGATCAGTAAATATTCTGATGATAACTGTCATAAGACCGTGGCCTTGATGAAGCTATGCAAGTTCAAATACCACTTTTCTGCCATAATGATCGCTCACCCAACCAAAGCAAGGTGAACCAATAGCGTAGCCAAGAAAGACAATCTACAAGGTAGTCGTTATACCATATTGTTAACTTATCACACCATGATAATCTGAACGAGTCCATGTTTCAATTTTGCTACAGTTTAATACATACACTTGTTAAGAGCGCTTCTTGTATACTGGAAATGCCCCATTCACAAACAAGGAGGGGTCCTAGTAATGACAGCATCGTGATTTCCATGGATTCAATCATCTACCGTAAAACGAAATGAAAAAGGAGTGAATGATTTTATAGTACATCGACGTTAATTATGGGGCTATAATGAATTGATGTTGTTATTGGATTCTTCATTGTAGTCGAGATTATGAATTCAAGGTAGGATTATCCGTAAAGTTTAATTACACTTTACTAGATTACAGAATGGTATTGATCATATCAGTAGAGTTATCGTTCAGTATTGATTAATCCTATAGTATTATGGCATTCTAACATGTTGATCAAATCATGAGAAGAATCCATCCCATTATTCAAAATGGTTGATATTTCTATTTTTATTGTAATCCTGATGGACTGCAGTATAACTAATTTTTAAAACAGATGGAATGATAATCGTGGGATGCGTTCAAAGTAATACTGTGATATATGATTATTATACGGATTTCACTTTATTTGAATAACAATTAAAAGATGGTTTAAATTTAAATTTATGTATCTATCTATTCCAGCATCAGCATGAATCCAATGATGGCGGACGTACCCATATAAATCCCATTATTCCAAGGCATTTGAGTTGGAATTTTCCGAAACCAATTGCTTCGACGACTTCATTGACGGTAATTTCTTTCGATTTATCTAGACGTGTGAAAAGCGTTAAATCAGGACTACAAGTTTGGGGAAGAACTGTGAAGTCCATCTCATCTAAAAAATACAATACATGATGTCCTTTTAATAACATTGGTCAAGTAGCGGTAACAGCGTCCCATTGCATATGATAACAGATGCCAAAGTATAGCATAGCGGGCTATTGTCTTAAGCGGAAAGCGACATATTGGATACGATGGACTCACTACGAGCCCATTTCTTAGCAATTGGTATATTGATAGACTTGTGCAGCAGTGGAATAATCTCCATGCACATGATAAAGTAAACTGTAAATCATTTCAGCATCACTATCTAATTAACTGTCAACAATGAACAACAATCATAAATCAATATGTTGTATTGACCGTGTCGATGTCAAGCCATTTTCTATCATAAAGTCGTTCAATTACAACTGAATGAGTTGATATCAAGACAAATCATCTCCATCCTTACCCATGTTGCCATGATCGTCGTTTAAAAGCCTTCTCCGAGCAGTTATTTCATCACTGTCCCCATCGGTAGCCATGGTTTCGCAGGAGGCGGCTTGCGATCTGCGATGCAGTTGAGTTGTCTGTAATGACACCACTGAGTTGAATTCCACTTTTAAACCACTGACTACAGTAGTGACTTGACTGTATAAACGTGTGACGCTCTCCTCCAGTCGACTACTGTAAGCTTACTTGATTCTAGCCAACAGACTCTTTTTATTCCAATTTGAAACCAAGTGGAGAAAAAAGTGATGGATGTTTTCAACTGGACTACCTAGTGCTTGCTTGATTGCATTGCCGACGGAACTGATGGACAATACACAATATAGTCGACTTCTTGATCATTCCATTTTCATTGTCCAAATAGTAGACAACTACTGCTAGAAATTGTCCAGCCAGTAAAATGGGCGACATGACCGTACCGTACTGACTGACGGTCGTACAGACGGTCTGTACCATATTGTACAGTGTACAGTACAGTACAAGGTTAGGTTCAGTAAGGTACTGTACAGTACTGTAATGTACTGTACTGTACTGTACAGTATAGTACTGTACAGTACTGTACAATAGAGGATCTCTACAGTACTGTACTGTACAGTGTACAGTGCAGATAGTCCATGCGCTCTGAAGCCGCGAACGTGAGCAGTGCCGATAGTCCATGCGCACTGAAGCCGCGAACGTGAACATGCGTACAACATGATGCATGCCCAATGGACCATACCTATTTCCACACCTTCGGTGAGAGAAAAACAATTTTATTTGTCAACAGAATAATTGACGAATCCATTACTTTCCACTCCACTGAGCGTACAGTATAACTGTACAGTCCAGTATTGTACATGCAACGTGCAAGGATACTGCACATTCAGTACTGTACTGTACAGTGTACAGTATAGTGTTTAGCTGGATTATTTTGCATCAATGTAATGAATTAATCATTTTCTTTTTTTATTTATTTATTACCATTTACTGCTTCGGTACGATTCAGTCACCGTTGTTGTTTACTATGCGCTGTTGAAGGTCGATGTATGCGAGTAGATGACATGAATCAGTCACCTGCCATGGGCGTCAAACGGCACAACATGATGACGTGACGATACGTGACTGCTTTTGGGCAATCAATTGAGATTAATTTCGGCATAACAATACTCCAATCGGTTGTCATTGGATCAACCAGCAGCGAGTCACCCACCACTGCAATTGAATCAACGTGACGCTTGACACCACACGATAAGCTCGTTGCTGTCAGTGGAAAACATTAATTCTTCCTTCTGGATAGGACAAGACGTCCGCCATTACTCTCTCTTCCAGTTCAACGAGTCAAAAAGAGTGATCAAATACCGAGTACAAGTTGGCTTTTAGTTCACTTTTGAGGCCAAAAATTGATCATTGGTGCTTGGTGTAAACAGCCTAGTTGATATTGTTGTACAAGCTGAAAAAAAGGTGTGTTGACTTTATTGCGCTTCAGTGAAAATTGTGGAATAGTCCCATTTCGTGGAGTAGAAATGGAAAACGGACGGGGTAGTACTTTAACCAAACAGTGGAAAAGTGCTTTTATTAAAGCAAAAGAATTACCTGATCCTTGGGCAGAGTATGATATCGAAAACAGATGCCAGACTGAATTAGCCAAACGACATCGTTATAATGCAGCCACCAAAACTTGGTTGGAAGATCGAGTTTTGGTTAAAATAGATGATGAGGTAGGCAAACCGAATGATACTTTTAGACGTAGTAAAAGCAAATCGCCTTTCTTATTTTAAAAGAGGATAATTTGGGTAGTTATGCATTGTCACTGTTGCATCCTTGAGTATGAGTGCATTTCACTAGTCTAGAGGCATGAGTCAATGTAGTTGTAGAGCTACAGTAGAAGATAATAATATCCGTCATGCCCTATTAACTCAATGGATCGCAATGGTACGGTAGTTGAATGGAAATGAAATGTGCATTCCCAAGCCCAACTAAAGCATGATGGAGAATGATTTGACCTCCTGGATAGCATCATAGATAGAATCTATATCATGAACTCAATATTGCATCGATGCCATGTTATCATGCAGACGATAGTGATGATCTTTTAATTGTTATTCTTGCATTCTAAGCTACAGTATCTCAAAAGAACACAGCAGGATCGTGTCTGTTGCGCAACTATTTTAAAGAATTTCAATGTATACGGTACAGTAGCGATCGCCTTTTCAAAGCTGCAGCGCTACTGTACAGTACTATAGGTTCAAAATGAAGTAGCCAAAACAATATCCTGGATTAATTTTCCTAATCTCATGTCACCTCATTGATAGTATAATCGACTTGATCCACACCATTTTCTATCATTAGAATAGTAAACATTCACTACTGTCGGATTTTGATTGACGACCAGGAAGGAGCGCAGTTGTGATGATGATGTAATTTACTCTTCTTTTACAACTCCAATTTGCTGGAGTTGTGAAATATTCGTGAAACGCTTAAAGTATCATTAAATGATACTTTAAATATTGATATTAATACTGCCCAGTATGCAATCAAACCCATCACTATCGACGAAACCTCTCCTCATACTAACCTGCCTTCATTTGCGTTTCCTCTGGGCGTCAACATCTATGGGAATGATGTAACTACGTAAATATCATAGCTAGCTTTCCGATGTGATTATACGTTATAGTGAAAATTGCTTTCCTTCCAAGTCAATTATAATTATACGCTAGATCGATTAAAAGGAATTTCTTTCTTACATTTATGTATCTGTTTGTTTACAAACCAACATGCAGTATTGCGCGTATACTGTACTGTAGTGTACACTAGTGTACACATGTATGACACTGCTATGTACTGGACATTAAATTAAAGGGACTCTGAATGATAAACAATATGTCGACTTTGTTCATATACGACCACATATTATGCAGTGTACAGTACTTCATTTGCAATACTTGACGATAAACAATATACAGCTTATTAACAAATAGCAAAATAGGTGATGCGTCTTTTAGAAAATTATGTAATGCATCAACACGACAGAGAGAACTAGCTTCCAAGCAGTTACAACGACTAGGCGATATAGTACAGATCTCCAACTCGAACTGTGCTGCTCGTATGGATGTTTCAATTAAGTGCATGAACTACCAGAAGAAACCCTTTTATTAGTCTATGATCTTGGCAAAGATTACTATTAGTAAATAGTATTAATGCTTAAGAAAACGCTTTCAAACAGTTTCAGTCGCATGCACCATTAATTTAAGTTAAGTTTACTCGATTCTGGTTAAGGCTGGTGAACTTAACAGAAACAGACGTCGATATTTACAGCTCTAATTAGAATATTGCAGTTAAAATATTATAGTTATGCTTAATTTTACTAGTAAATTTCGAATTGAATTTTATTAACTTTATAATCTTTCTCTCATGGTTAGTCGTTTGCCCATGGAGCAATGCGGCAGTGTTACAGAATGTAAGTGTCTATCATGTAGCGTTAACTTCTTCTTAAATTGGTTTACAAATAAATCAGGATAGATTCCAATACAATCCATACCTTTGCTATCTTTTATGGTAGCTGCTGTATATGTACAACTGTAAATGTAATATCACTTATATGTAGTAATAATATTGATTGACTAGACCTACTCAATTATATAATATACTGAGCACATTTGCCATAATTTTAAAGCTGTAACATCTTGACTGCCGGCAAAAGTGAATGCCTTCTTAGCTAGAAATATTTGGTATGCTAACATGTACTATCAAACGAATGATTTAACACATAGGAAGAAATTGTCCAACTGGAAAAAAGTCCGATGCGAGGAAGATATTTATGATACTAGTCTTGAATGGAAACAAGCATTGAATTGTGTTGCAAAACGCTATATCGATCCTGTGGAAAGATTTATCTACTTTGAAGAGTGCAAACTACAAATGGATGCCAAGTTATGGGGTGAAGAATACAACAGACACAATCCGCCAAAGAAGGTATGTCTAAGCATCCACATAAAAAGACGGCGAAATATAAATGGTTAGTTACTGATATTACTGTTCTCTTTTGTTAGGTTGACATCATTCAAGTTTCTATAATAGAACTTATCAACAGACCAGATAAGCCACTATATCACATAGAGCATTTTGTGGAAGGAGATTACATCAAGTATAATTCAAACTCTGGTTATGTTGACGAGACATTACGCGCAACACCCCAAGCCTTTAGCCATTTTACCTTTGAGCGTTCTGGCCATCAACTGATTGTCGTGGATGTCCAAGGTCTGTCACTTTCATGATCACCTATGCCTACGCATTTCGATTTACCTTATGGGGAAGATAATATATTGTAGTCAAGGTATTGCTAGTAATAACTCTTTTGCCCTTTGTGGCGCTATTACTTTATCTAGGCGTTGGCGACTTATATACTGATCCTCAAATTCATACCGCCGACGCTAAAAGCTACGGAGAAGCAAATTTGGGACCAAAAGGCATGGCACTCTTCTTTAGTTCCCATACTTGCAATCCATTATGCGAATTATTGAGTCTTGGTACCTTTGATTTAAGTAGCAATGGAAAGCAACGATTACTGACAAGTCAATTTAGCAATGTGAGGCAAAATTCATGTATCTAAAACTAGAGCATTTATTTAGTGTTTATCGTATTTTGTACCAAAATGTGCCAACTGAATATCTGTTGATACATTTAGCAATCTTCCTCCACCTTATCAATACAAGACTTTCAAAGAAGCGATTCTCATGTTAATCCAGTTTCACCCGTTGAAGAAAGTTTAGAAGACTACTTCTTAAAAAGAGCTAGCGAAAGTTCCTCGAATCAGACGACACCTGTAGGATCACCGTTAGATTCTCCAGTCGATGATTTTCCAATGGAATTTCCTATCATAAGAGCTCGGAAAACGTCACGACAAAGACATGATAGTGGTGACGATGTTTTTGATAAGGTAATCAAGGATACAATGATGATTTTTTGAATGCCCTATGTTATCGTTATTAGACAAAGTCTACAATAACTTTACTATGTCCTTAACAGGGTGAAGAAGATAGACTATTCCAGCAACACAGACGATCACATAGAGGCTCTAGTGTGGCTGCTGAAATTAAGCTTTTTAGCTTAAAGAAATTTACCGGTAAAATGAAGAATACGTCCATTCTAGGAAAGGTATTGTCATCAAGGATAAATCGTCTTACTGTAGAAGATCTAATGTTTTGCTCTAACAATATCTGTCTTTACGAAAAAAAATGCATATGATTAATCTGGCTATTTAAATTTTCTTTCTGCTTTCCACAGATACACTTTGAACTTGCAAGATATAATGAAATGGGTCGATTTACCGATAAAGAACCAGATTTAGAGTCTGGATTCTATCATTTGTTATTAGCCGCTAATTTAGGCTTAACTGATGCTGTCATTAATGCTGCCAACATTTATCTCCAATCGCCCCATGATATTCTGATTGATTTTTCTGTCGAAGTTAGTCTTTCTATAGCATTAATTTTTAAACAGGTATTTGTTACTTTTTACACACTTTGCTATTCATCACTAGGATACAGAGGAGAATAGGATCAAAGGGTATAATTTCATGCTAGAAGCCGCTAATGGTGGAGATCGCAAGGCGATGGTAATCATTGCAAAAGCTCATGATACAGGAGAAATAGTCGGACACGAAAGGTTAGCAGCCGATTCATAGTCATTTTTACAGTTTTAGATTGATATGTTCTATCTAATACATTGCTCCGCTATATTGGAAAGATCTTGGAATGAAGCAGTTCACTGGTATCAGTGTGCTATGGATACTGCTGATGATGACGATGCAGGCTGCTTTGACGCTTGTATGGAAGATCCGAACTATTCATTAATGGTACGTCAAGCCGAGTTGTATCGTGCAGGTGGATATGACTTAGAACAGGATTTAACGCAAGCTGCAGAATTATATAATTCAGCTGGTGAAAATGCTACGGCATCTATGAAAGGGCGCCTCGCAACTAAATATTACATGATCGCGGAAGAAATATGGGGAGAAATTGATGAATAAAAGTAAATATCAATTTTAAAGTGATGTACAGCATAAATCTTTTGATTTAGATTTCGAAGGTATTTACTGTTATAGCAGTTGTTGAACGACGGTAAATTTACTTCAAATGGTTTACCAGTGCTACTCTCAATATCATTATCATATGGTTATTATAGTAGAAACGAATTTTGCAACCATTCTAGATGTTTATACGTGTAATGTTCCATACTCTACGTCTAGAGGTATACGTGAGCAATTTATTGTTTATTCGCTTGTATTTGTATAATTATACCGCCAACTTGATTTAAAGCGAGCTGAACTAACTTATATCAAAGTTACTGTCATGAAAGTGATCTTGTCTGGCTAACACAACTGAATCTTTTCATATCTTTTTAGAATAATATAATTTTTAAGAATTAACATAAAATTAAGATATATTTTTGTGTTTATAGAGAGATAGATGCCATGTTAAGGTATCACAACGTGTATTTTAGAAACTGAATTATGTTAATGCTAACGAACTAGCATCATGTATCTACCTTTCAATAATCTCTTATAAAGTAGGGATACTCGGATGTTTTTGATACAGGATAACAATCGATATACGTCCATTACAGAGTTATTTGTGTAAAATTTCTTTCAATTCTTTAATTTAGCATGCGTAACGAACAGCAGCGAAATGTATAACTGGAACAGTTAATAAATGCATTGTATCAAATATTGCAGCAGCAAAATCTTGCATGTTAGTGTGTTACCATCGCATTCGAAATATATGAAATACAAATAGGGTTCCTATATATTTTGATACACGTATATTATCAGCGAATGTCTTTAATGTACAGTACAGTATATTGGCCAGGTGGTAATAATCACAAACTGCTACAGTGGCATTGCAAAATGGAAGACACTAAAGATTTGTTGTCTTCATCTGGTTTCCTGCTCAAATTGAAGATTACTGTACTTCTATCGACCCTGTGATATTAAAATATGGACTTTCGATCTTGCTTCTTTTTAGAATGGAAGTATTTTTGCTTTAATCTTTTTTCGTTTGCGACGTGTTTCCTAAGGAAATGCACAAAATGTAGAGTAATTTATTAATACAAATTATTACGTCAACGATACGGTTGTTAGTGCAACTATGTACAGTATATGCGTATGCATGTAGTCCATCGATCAATCGTTATTTCATTTATTACAGTTTTTTAATTTTAGCCACTTTTTCTGGAGCAGTTGGCTTTGGTATCTCTCCAGCCTTGTTAATGATATCTTCTAATTTTTGAATAGCGTCATCTAAGTTCAATTTCTGTGATCGAAATTTGGTAGAAGAGATTACTAGCTGGCCTTCCTTATTAATCCTCTTTTTTTCCTATGCAACAAAATACCCGCCGTATTTTAAGATCATATACACGTATTCATTAGGCCCTTAATAGGTTACCAGTCATCCAACTATGCATTGCATAGCCTAATGCCTTCTACTCATTTACAATACAGTAGCTCAATCCTGGTACCAATACGATAAACATTTGAATAAATAGTTCTATTCGAATCACTTTCGGATTTGTATCATGTATTTGGAGAAAGTAATACATACCAGCTGACACAAACGCTGCTTCACCCATTCTGGTATCCATTCCATAGAATCGACATGGAAGCGTACATCTACCTTAGTATTTACTAAAACGGCATAATATTCATGTATTAATACTGGTGCACCGTGGTCAGTAGCATAAAATGTTCAGTGTTATTTACTGCAAGTACTCCAAGTGATTCAATCAATATTGTAATGGTTAAAAGCTTGTTTGGAATTGATACCTTTGTTAACATTCTGTCCACCTGGTCCTCCACTTTTGGAGTATTTAACGTCAAGGCAGTCTAATATAATAGAAAGGATAATGCAGAGACGGATATACAATAACATGTTTAATTAACATTAGCGGAATGCCAGTTCGTTATACATTGCGTACTACATAACTTAGTTGCCTGTACTTTAAATATAATTTACACAGCTCTGTCAAGTTAGGCTGCTTAGTACGATTGACTCAGTTAAGTTCAGATTCCTAATTAAACTACTCTAATCGAGTAGGAAGACAGTCTCCACCATGCTAAAATGGTAAAATGTCTCTTCAAAGAAATGCATCTGTTGGCTGCAGGCTGGTCTATATCACATTATCATTATATTTATTCATTAAGTAATTGAATATTTCTAAACACGGTATAAGCCAAGATGAGAGTCCTACTGCACTCATTGTGAGTTCTGGCTGACGATTACTTTTTAGAACATAACAAAGTGTCTATATTGTGTATAGGCTACCAGCTACTACTTTGCGGTCTGAGTGGACTTGATATCTTTGCGTAGTATTTATGTGCAATATAGAAAATGGATCTCTTCAAATGCATGCAAAGTCAAAATTGAAATGTACGTTATAATGGAACTTACTTGAGTCTATAGGTTTATCCAATTTGAAACTCTGTTACCGCGGGGTCCGAAGTATATCAGTCGGGCAATAAGAATGGACACAGGAAAGAACTATATTAAACCTATTTATTATTTATTGAACTATTAATCTATACTTTCAATGTCGTACAAATAGTAGATCGAAGCAATTCTCCCTAATAAATACTTCTGTTAAGAATAACAGTATTCGATTACTGTACTGCACATCACAGAATAGAGACTACAGAGATGAAATGGATGACATTACAATTAAGAAAGGGACTAATCCATTCCCAGAATAGACAACACTAAACACCGATCAAGTCGAGTGTTACCTCCTTTATTGAATCTTGACATGCTGACTTTTGAGTAGAGTCGTCCTGAGACTTGTTGATGCTATTGGCAGACCAAGCATTGGTTCCTTTGCTATTGGAGCTGTTGAAACTAGATGTAACTAACTTTGCAAATGGTATGCGAGCATACCCACTGAACGACCGCCAAGGATATGGCTTATAAGCCATAACCATAGCAGCGACGTCAACCTTAGTGAATAATTGATGGAGAAATTGGATCGGCGGCATGTCCAAAGTGTGCTTAATTTCGATTTTAATCTAGTAGGAGTCATGCATAGCAGTCATTTTGAGATTGAAGTTCATTCCTTCAACAGCCATTCACAGGGTGTCCTTGAACGCCAAGGTGGAATTGAATTGGTCAATTCTGCAGAGATGCTACTCCATTTCTGCAACCTATTTGCCAGCACCTAGTTCACAGCAAATGATCATCCAAAAAGTGCGGCCGAAATAAAGATATTGAAGCTCTGTATGCTGTACAGTATGCTGATGGACTTTGACTATAGTTTATAGAGAAAGTGTGTCTTTTCTGAGCACTATTCTCGTTATTTTCAAGCCCTGCTATTTCTACTCTGTACTAGTTGGCCTGAACCAGACAACTTAGGAGAGAAGCAAGAATTAGAATAGTGATGATGTCCATAAAGAGCTATTTTCGCATCCTCATTCATGTTATGGTAGCGTGGCCGAGCGGTCTAAGGCGCTGGTTTAAGGCACCAGTCATTTCGATGGCGTGGGTTCGAATCCCACCGCTGCCAATGATATTTTTTACTGTTCAGAAGTACTGTCATGCGCATTCCTGCCCATTTTGCCAACAATGTCATACTGTATTGATCGAGTACTGTCAGTGACCAGCAGTTAGACTGAGTTGTCGACTTGGTATTCGATACTGTACTGTCCGTATGCTGTCCTATACAGTACACGATCGATTACAGCAGTAACTACAAGACCTGCAGCTTAGAGGTCGACTTGGTAACCAGTAATTACGGTAGTAACGAATTGCTGCAATAGCAAGACCTGCAGCAATTCTTCATTTTGAATTGGACTATTGGAATATTGTGCAGCTGCTAGCCAACTTTTCCTTTGCTCAACACTTCAAGACAGCGGAAATGGGGGATTCGAGTAAGCCGAGAGTTTCTGATCAAGATGTTTGCTGCTATGCTTATGATGGTGATATTGCCAATCTCAAGAAGCAACTACAGAAAAATCAATCCTTGTCAGCGGTGACTGATCAGGTTAATCATCGATTGCTAATCGAATTGTGCTGTTTACACTTTTGATGAACGTGATGAGATCACACTTCAAACTAGAGTTCATGTATCTACATGCCAATGCTTACAGTGATTGACTACGTGCCTTTGCCTAATATAATTCTACACTTGGATTATATTTAATACCAAGAAAGTGGCTTCCATCACGCATGGATGAATCGAACCTGTAGTAGAATTGAATACGTATACTACTGTACATTGTTCCAATAACAAACGAATTCGCTTCCAGATGAAAATTGTATCAACTATTGACAGCGCACCTACGTAGAGTTAAAGAAGACATGCATGCACAGTTCATCCTAACTCAGGCTTTTAATTTTTCAAATAGAGATGGGTTAGCATAGGATTCACATCAAGCCTTGCATGACAACTGATAGGTTAAGTGTTTGACATTGTTATTAGATTAGGATGGACTTTATGTACGAATTATTTGCAAGTCTATTACAATGATCACGGACATACAAGATCCGGTCCTGTCCAGTAGCTTATGCCATCGTAGTCGCTTCTCCTTTTCCATACAAGTTTTGAGCAATAGTCTTAATATACTGCAAGCCCCTTTATTACAGTACAGCAAGCCTTGGACTTCTTCCAACTCCCTGATTAAACACACTCACTTAAAGTTCATTATTATCGCTAGTCCCTGATTCGGACATTGCTGCAGTCAATCTATTTTTTGTTTATGACGTATCTTTATTATTTTATCATGGATAAAGGCTAAGAGAACCCCTCTTCATTGGGCCTGCTCTTCTGGTCAACAAGATATCGCTTCTTTCTTGCTTAACGCAGCGAATGTGGAAGTAAATGTTGTCGATGATTCGATGTGGACGCCATTGCATATAGCTACTTCTGCAGGCCATACCGGAATAGTAATGCTACTACTTGGTAAAAATGCATCAGCCAACGTCAAGAATCAAACTGGCCAAACACCGTTGCATTACGCTGCATCCAAAAATAGATACGATGTAAGCATGAACACGCTACGAGAATTGACTTTGTACTACTGTATCAATTCTACAGGGTTTCGTTTAACTTTAAGACTAAAGATTTTCTTTAGCAAAAATTTTAGTCGTGTATTGTATCATTTTAATTATTAGTTATCAGATGTATTCATTTATCTCGTAGTGTAAAGTAGTGCTGATAATATACCGTACTGTAGTATTGAGAAAGAATGCTATCATAATTAATAATAAGTAAATGTGTTAACGTACTCTTAATAATCCTTCAGCTAAATCTCTCTTTTCAAACTTAGATTGCTAACGAACTAATCCAATCAGGAGCGGATGTTAATATAACTGATAATACCAATGCTTGCCCAATTCATCGAGCCGCAGCTTTAGGACATTTAAAGATGCTGCAGCTTTTATTAGCAAATGGAGCGCTTGTTGACGCAACCGACATTAGTGGAAACACGCCATTGTAAGCAAAGTTTGACTATAGTAGCTAATAGACATTTTCAACCTAACCTCTGCGCTTACAATTCAAGATAGGGTTGTAGTGAGGTTTTATAATTATTGCAAATAAAACCATTTATAAAGTCATTAAAGAGTAAATTGAGCGCTATCATAGAGTTGTTTATCGATCTGCAATAATCATGCTTGGATTCTTGTAAATACTCAACCATTAGACATTTAGCTTGTGAAGATGGCAACAATGAATGCGCCGTAACTTTAGTGAAAAAGGGAGCGAATTTAACTGTTCGAAATACGGTACGCATGCCGATTGAATGCAATTGGTGTATTTGCTAGCTCGTAGTTCTTGTATATATTATACTGTATTATCATGCAATTTCCTTTACTAATATCTACTTACACTATCTGCAATGTACTCATCTATCTCTGGTAATATAATTGAATCTTTAGGAAGAAAAAACTCCTATTGATTATGCATCCCGAGGTTTAGCCAAAAAATTGCAAGAACTCTTAGAAATGTGATATAGAACTGTATGACTTTAGACTACAAAGTCTGTTATGTATTATATATCTAAGGTGTACTTCTCATTTGTTATTTTGTTGGTACATTCGCTATAAAACAGAGTGAATTTTACAGTAACTGAAGGTGATATTAAAGACAGCAAATAGTATAGCACACTACTGATTCCATTCACGCCGACAATTCAGGATAACTCATTGTCTGTTAGGGTTAGGATGTGCGATGTTTTATTCTACTAGCAAAGTAAGAAATGCCATGCAATTTGATGTCAGCTACTGAAAGTGTACATTTTCCCTATGCTATCGCTCAATGTTTATTGATCATGGAAAAGATTCTATTATTTACCTTACTATTTACCAAAAGCATGTAAATTGATTATCTGCGATTATAATAAAAAGCACTGCTTGAGATTTCAATGGATGATCTAGCTGGAAGAGATTGCATGATACAAGGTGAACTCTGTGGAATTAGATATGCTTATCATAGCAATGGCGATGCCGTTGTGGATTTAGGAATTAATCGAAATGTATTTAATGGATTTCGCATTGTACTTGTAGAAGCTGCTGATGTGAATAATGTATTGTGTTCATTTTATTTTCCTATTGCATATTTATCACAATGCCGTGCAGTAAGAATTATGTACTTGTCCACTTGGCTGATAAATAAGGCCATTCCACGAATTAAAATCATTTAGAGCTAATTTCGGTTACTGTATATTCAAGTTCTTGGACTGAGATGATAAATAACTAAAGTCTACTATACGATTACATGTGTATGATAGATCTCAGTTTTATACGAGTAGCATGTTATACCGCATAGTGACAATAGACGATAAAAGTAGTTGGACATATCACTACCGCTGCTACTGCTACTGCAAAATCAAATACGAAATATACCTACT